GTATTTACATAAATATTAATCTAATATAGGAATAGATTTTTTTTTTCTTTAATTTTTAGATCTTGAAACACGTTTGTTTGATTATTATATTATTCAGATTGATCATCAAGGAAAAGCGATCTAATGATTTGACTTGGCACATCTGCACATATCCATATCAACCTTGTATTTGAGGTTGATTTTTTCAAATCTAATTCAAAGAAGAGTCTTTTAAAATTAAAGGAACAACTTTTTTTAACAAATTTAGCACATCTTCATCAAAGTCCAAATTTGAACGGTTCAAACTCAAATTTATAAACTCTTCTTGAAATTTCTCTTCAAATAGATCATAGAAAATATTCTCCATATTGTAACTCATTGAACTCACAACAAAGTATATGCTCTTCCACAAAAATAAAATTAACACCAACCCTTCCATAACTCTGATTCATGCTTCCAATAGACAAAATATGATTAAACCTATTATTAGTTCCATGATCAAAAATCAGTGGTTTACTCCAATCCATAATCGAATTTGGAATAAATTTTGATGTGAAAGGCCATTTAATTAGATCATCCTGTTTAGTGATTTGGTTCATGTGATCTTTATAATTTTTCAATGCATGATCTCTTATCGGTCTTTCACTATGAAAACTTAGCAGGTTATAATCATCATCTATTACCTCATCCTCTTCCACAAGAACCTCCTGAGCAACACTGCAACTCCTAGGCATGAAACAAGAACTTAGCAAGCTCTGATACCAACTAAGTCTAGGCTACGATGGCACCAATGAGGGCGACTCATGGACGACGTTTATGAAGTTGACACCGCAAAGGTGCAACAATAGATTGATGCCCTGACCGAGCAACTTACAGCATTGCAATAACAACAGGAGCAACACCCACCTCAAAACCCACGGTTTATGGAGGATGAAGACAGTATAGGGAAAGCAGAAGACAACCCTTTTGCTGGAAATTTCCATAGAGGAAGGGTTCAACAAGGTATGGAAGCGGGTTCACGTCAGTGGGAAACGGGTTCAAAAATTGACCTCCCTAAATTTCAAGGCAGTGTTTAACCTGAAGAATTCTTGGACTGGCTTTTTGCTGTCGAAGAGATTCTTGACTTCAAGGAGGTTCTAGAAAACAAACGAGTCTCCTTGATAGCCACACACTTCAAGGGAAGAGCAGCAGCTTGGTGGCAACAAACAAAGTTAACTCGAACCAGACAAGGAAATAGTAAAACTACTTCTTGGGAGAAGATGAAGAAGTTGATGAGTTCTACATTCCGTCAATCAAATCATGGGCAAATGTTGTATCAACAATATCAAAGAAAGCTTGAATCGAAAAAATTGTTTCAAGGTAATTCTGATTCACAATATTCTTTGCAACTCAATAATTATTATGCAGTTGTGGATACAGATTATTCGAGAAACATGACTATGGCTCTGCTAAGTTTTGGTCAATCAAGTCTTATAGGTCAACAAATTTGTCACGCTTCACCACGTATTGAAGAAGAAAAGGTTTTGTGTATCTCAATGTTTCAAAATTTTGAAGACCCAAACAGACATTCAATTGAAGTAGATAATCAAGTTTATTTCAACAATGGTGAGAACATTGAAATTGATGAAAGAGAGGTCACTGAAATTACTTTGATCAAGAAGTTTAAAGAAGACGATGAAGAGGTGAAGCAAGAGAAAAATGTTGAAGTTAGCCAAGAGCTTCTAATGACAGAACTATCATCTATTGATTATTATGATAGTTGAGAGGGTAATTTATAAATAAATATTGACCGAGCTACGATCCTTTAGCCTCTGTTATGGGCCGGACTAAAGACCGAGGTATGGACTTCGAGTAGCTCGGTCCCATATTGTATGGACTCCAAGCTGGGCAGAGGTCCTTTGGACCAAGCTACCTAAACAAATGGGCCTGGTGGTTAGCCGAGGTGTTGGTGAGAAATGAGGCCGGACTTGGTTTAGCTCAGCCGAATGCCATCTACATCATTGCTTAATTAAGTGTATGACCGAGGTGATCTAACTCGGTTAGATTGTAACAGTTTAAACAAAAGAGGTAACCATCTTACTTAGTTGGTGGAAAGCAAAGTGTTATTATGATAGACATTCTTATTGGACTTGAGACTCCTAGGAGGGCTTTGCTAAGGAGAGTAGAGTCCTACTAAGATTGTGCAAACCATCTCACTTTGTTTGTAATGAGTAGGATGTGTGACTCCTAGAAGGATTCTTATAAGGAGAGTTGGAATCCTACTAGGATTATGGCAGACATAATTTATAAAAGCTCATAGCAGGACGTATGTACAGGTATCCCAATTCTTACTCTAGAATACACAGATCTTATTATCTATTGTCCAGTTGCTGACTTAGGCATCGTAGGGGTTTCCGGTACACACCCGCCGGCTAGCTCACGTTTGTGTTTTCAGGAAATAAAGCGACGACATTTGGAGGAATGCAAACTTGATCAACAGAATTATACGAGAAGATTATTTCGTGCTCGTACAATAGTCATGAGATCGTAAAAGGAGATCAAGTTGAACTCCATGAAAAAGCAGAAATAAAAGATGGGGTAATAAAGTTGACATGTGCACCAAAGAAGTTGATTGTTAATGCAATTGATGTTCTAAGGATGTCCAACTAAATCTAAGGCAGAGCAAGGCCTGGAGAGTATCCGACGTCAATATAAAATACACTTCATTGATTTTTTTTGGTGTGAAGCAATTTAATTTGATTTTCAATGCTTGTCTAATTAATCTTGCCAACTAGTTGAAGCATATAGAGAAGAACTTTCAGAAAAAGAAACTTTTCTAAATATAACTTTTGGAAAAGGGGTAAGCAACTGAAGTATTCAAAATATCTCTTTATTTGACATGAAAGATGGCAGGTCTCTAGTTGGAACTCGAGGACGAGTTCTTTTAAAGAAGAAGAGTATGATGTAGAACAAAATTCTATAAATTTTATATTTCTTAATTTTATTATTTTGGAATTAACTGATAGAGACGGAGATGGACATGGAGATCTAATTGAAACACGGGTGGAATAGTGAGGTACAAATTGTCACAATTGGAAACTTGAGATTTAATTTGAAAAAGACGCTAAACTTTGAGATTTTTTTATAATTTTCTCAAAAAAAATAAGAGTATTTTGATAAACATCGGTTTATGCATACAGACGCCTTTCGTGCATTAACACTCCATTTGTTGGCAAATGTTTTTTCAAATAATTTTTGTTAAAATATTTAGTTACAATCTTAAAATTAATGTATTAATGGTTAATTTAGTAATAATTTTACTTTTGGTTGTAGGTGTGGTGGCGGGGTGATATTAGTAAATTTTTAATTTGAAAAATATTTACATTTTGACCAAATCACTATTTTTCACATGCTATTGGCCTGAATTTTATTGAGGGTTTATCATTAAAAATTCCTAGGGTTGAAATCGAGAAATAAGCTAGGCAGTAAATTGTTTAAATTTAATTTGACACCTTAACAAGTTTAAAATTGTATTCAATCTTAATTTAATGAGTCAATTTCGAACGATTTAACGAATCGAACACAAATATATTAATTTTACAATGCATATAAGTTTATTGAACCGAAGATTAAATTATTTAAGTTTAAATTGAAAATTTATCAAGTTTAAAATTATACTTAAACCCTTAAAAAAGCTATATTTTTTAGAATTTTTTTATCTTTAGTGATTTTTTTTATTTTAAAAAGTATGTCAAAATTATTTACTTTTCTGATCTGTCATGTTGAGACAAATCTAAAAAAATATATCTTTTTGAAAATTTCAAAAAAAAATTGAAAAAGTCAAAATAAGCCCAAAAAAATTACTTATTTTTGTCTTTTCTAATTCTTTTTTAGAATTCCACACCTTGGTTTGAATGTTGTGTTTGGTTAGAATTTTCAAAATTTGATTTCATACCAACTTTTGAAAACATGTCTACCCGATTATCCTTTCAGATGTCTGGCCGGTTGACCGGAACCGTGTTTTTTTTTTTTTTGACGCCTGCTATTTTTATATTTTAAATAAAAAGTATTTTTGAAATTTTTAAATTTTTTTTTACGAGTTTTGAATAGAATTTTAGGTTATGTGTTTGGTCACAAGTTGTAAGTTTTTAAATCAAATATCATATGTTACATCAAAAATTTCAAACTCAATTCAAAACTCTTTTCAAAATTTATAACCAAACAAATTTTTCACATTCAAATCATAATTTTAAAACTCACAAACTCAAAATACAGGTCTATTATCAAATTATAATTCTAAAACCCTACCATAATTTTTCAGTTCATCTTATCGAGTTAAATTTAAATAAATAATTTTAAAATACAAGTCTCTTTTCAATACACTTTTTTTGAATTTTTTTTTAAAAAATTCATTAAAAATAAAAATAAGTAAAAATATAAATAAATAAATAAATTAACTCTAAAACGATAACAAGTGGCCTCGTTTGAGAATAGACTTTTTTAATAACTTTTTGTCATTTTGACTAAAATATGATGTAAAAAAAATTAGTATTTTTATAATAATTTTTAATTTTTTACGAAAAAATATATAAAAAGTAGAGAAAAAAAAATATCTTTAATATTTTAATATAAGTTTTTAATTTTTTAATTTTTTTAATAATTTTTAAAATTTTAAATTAAAGAATGACGTTGCTAAACGAGACCTTAAGAATAATGCTTGGGACCCCCTTTTGGGGGTCACCCCCAGCCCCCCTTTGCCACGTGGCGGGTGGTGATTGGAGGAGCAGAAAAAAAAATAAAAATAAAAAAATAACCAGAGTCATGATAGAGATCCCCTCTAATCACCACCCCCACAATCCCCACAGACACGTGGCGGGTGGTGATTGGAGGAGCAGGAAAAAAAGAAAAAAAAAAAGAAAATGTAACCAATGAGAGAAAGAGAGGGTCAAAGGGGGTGGGGGAAAAGGGGACATGAAACATTTTTGCTCAAATAAATTTTTAAGAAAGTGAATTGAGCTCGAAAATTTGGACCCCGATAAATATCAAAAGAAACACGGGCCTTAAAAACAGTAGTTGGCCCAGTTCCGGTCCTTGACCCTTGTCTGGGTTCTTCCGCCTTCTTCCTTGATTTTCATCAAGAAGGGGGCCAGAGAGGATTGATCACTACATGCCAAGCCTGTGCAGTGATTTCCATGGCTGCACGTAAGTCCTCTCTCTCTCTCTCTCTCTCTCTCTCTCTACATATATAATATATATGTACTAGTACACTTGTAACTAAGTCCCTTCTTTCCTCTGCAATTCCTACTCAATTTTGCTTCCATGGCCACTTTCTCAGGTCCCCCCCCATGCCTCCAATGTTGAATTAGGGTTCTCTTATGTATTTATTTGTCATGTTTATAAGCTTATTTGTGAAAGGTATGATTTTGGTTTGTGATTTTCAGCTACTTTTGGAGCTTCCACTGTCAAAATTTCCAACTTTAATTTGGGATTTGAGAGAACCAAATTAGGTACATCACAAGCATTGCATGGCCTTAGAACTCGAAGGCCTCTACAATATCAGAGTTTAGTAATATCGAAGCAGTTGGGGAAAGCTTTAATTGGATGTAGATGTTCTTCTAAATCCGAATGTAAGTTGATAAGCTGCTTCATGTATATATATATATTAGTTTCATGTGTGTTTGTACCCAGATGAGCATATGTATGTGTGTATGCATGGACTGTACTGAAATTCATACCTTATGGTGAATTTTAAAAACATTGATGTGGTTGTGGTGCTGTTATGTAGTAATTAAAGTTTGTTTTTTGCAAAGCTATAAGAAAAGGGAAATTGGGGGAAAGGAAAGAAAAAGAAAAAGGGAAAGAGAGAAAATTAATTTCTTTGATTTGTTTGGCTTTCTAAGGGAAACAAGAACAATGAGTTTACAATAAAGAAGTTTCATTTGTCATTGGATGGTAGAGGGTGGATATCAAAATCACGATCCAGGCGATCTTAAATTTCCAAAACGATCGAAACTGTAGTAGAATTGATATCAGATGAGGATTGCAAGTAGGATCGTGTGGGATCATGTAGGATCATGGGTAAGATCGTTATTTTTCACCTTATTTAATATGCATCACATTTGTTGGTATTTTTACTTTATTATTATTATAGAAAGTTGAATCTTACTGTGTTCTGTGCCACACTTCTCTTCTTGGTTCGTATCGACCTTCTGCTGCAATCAATGAAAGAAAGAAAAATGAAATCTTTTGTGGAATCTTTTGTGGTTTTTCCATTACTTTCCTTGTTTCCTTGAACCAAACTACATTAGGTATCTTTGAGAAAGAACTTTGGAATGCAATCCTTATTTCTTTTTCTTCTTCCTTTTTTTATTTTTTGGTGTGTGTGGAATAAATCGAATTGGAATGCCATCTGAGTCATTCAAATAGTTTATGATGACATTCTAGGTTAACTCATTGCAAGACTGCTATCTCAGATAATCTACTGAGATGGCATCAATCAAGTATTCACGTGTCTTTTACTTCCCAGTGCCACCAACGACTATGGTCATTGTGCTACATTTCTATATGTTGCATACAACAGTTGAAATGCTAATTTATAGGGAATATAGCTGCGTACCATAAACTTTTTAGCTTGAGTGGTATCTCATGCTATTCTGGTCGAGGGAGCTGCAGGGTTTGCGGTATCATGTTCTTCTAACAAGCATTTAATGTATCAGAATGCTTGCATCTTATCTCATCATTTCCTTACTTCTATGTCCATTCTTTTTTATCAAGGCCATCCTTGCGTTTACTGGCTATCAAAAGGGAAGCCTTACCATTTCTTCATTTGTGCTTAATATGACCCAGCCATGGAAACCTATTTGTTTTTTGATACTCTACCATTGTGTTCCTCCTCCAATGATACTATACTCCAAGAAAAATAATTGTAGATGGTACATTGATTCTTAGGCTGGCCACAGTTTGTTATGTTGTTCAAATGCTTCTCCCTGCCTCCATTATCCACTACCCTGCATTTTGCATAAATCACATTTTTTGCTTCACTTCACTTTTTTTTTTTTAGTTATCATTTGTCAAGTGGTGACTTTATTGCTTTACTGTTATCGTAAGAAGCTTTGGAGTGTGTACTCTAAGAAGTTTTGTAAGCATCCTTTCTGTTCGTGTTATTAACTGTTTTCTTTCATTGATGCCATTGCAGCTGTTACAAATTTGGAAGATGGTTCTGAAGAAGTGAAATCTTCTGGTTCAACAAGCCAACTCATTCCGACGTCATATGAGGTTACTACCTTTGCTTATCTTACCTGGATGAAGATCCTTCTTGCCCCTCTTCCCTGGACTGCTGATGGTCCGGTGAATTATGCGTGGAGTAAAATTTGCATAGTTTGTCCAATCTATGTTTGTAAAAATCTTATGGAAACTACAGGGTCCAAAACTGAACACACTAGTAAACACATTCATTTTTTCCCAGTGGATTTTAAAGATAGATAACTAAAAAGTGGTGAAACCAATGATAAATTATATTTTGAACCATATAGGAACTCATTTGTTAATTGACTATTAATATTTCACTGTGAGGGCATTTTTTAACTGAAATTCTAGTACTATCCATTTCATGGGGATTAATGTTCTTTATATACACAGTGCACACCTTATTCATTCTGTCATGCCACGTAAATGTCAAATACTCAAATTACATTTTGTTTCTAATATTTCTAGATGTAAATCATTTGTTAGTATTTTTTTTACTAACAATTCCTCAAATTTCAGTTGAAATATAATCTGTTGTTTCTACAAAATTGCTCTGTTGGTATATATTGTCATAAATCCATCCACATATCCATGTTTCCAACTCTATTGGTATATAATTGTCATAAATCCATCCACATAGCCATGTTTTCAAATCTATTTTATTGGCATTTTATTTCTTACCAACATCATTAAGTGATTAGCATGCAATACTAAGAAAAATTGGAGAAGGAAATATATACACATCTAAGTAAGTGATTAACATGCATTACTTGAATACATGAAGGTTTTTTTTTTGTGTGTGTGCGTGCATGCGTGTCTTTCATGTACGAAGTTGTCATTTTTCTTTGTTTTGTAATCTTTCACTATAGTTTTCCCCTTTATTTTGAAGTTCACAATGGTCTTGGCACCGAGTAAATCCTACATTAAAGTTGTTATATGCCGGGATAAGTCCTCTTTGTGTTAAGCAAGAGATGGTACCTTAGTTCTATTTAGCAGGATAGTTTGACTTTGCCAACACATGCAGGCTCTCAGACAGATACACAAGTCTAAAACTACATCTTGTTAAATGTTTGAGAAGATTACCTAACTCGAATGTTATTTGCAGGTGGAATTTCTTGTCACTCAAATGTGTGATACAACTTCAATTGCAGAGCTTGAACTGAAGGTGAGTAGTTGTAAAATCTGTTGTACCTCTTCTTTGATTTGTAATTTTTGTACTTAAATGAACTTGATTCTCATCATTTAGTTTCTAGTTAGTTGATTAAGACATTCCGTCTTCAGTGAATTTTTGTTTTTTGTTCATGCCTTTCTCATTTCATCTTTTTCTTCTTATTGTTAGCTCGATGGATTTCGGTTATTTGTATCAAGGGACCTAACGGGAAAAAGTATACCTGCATCACCACCAATTTCTACTCCTGTCAGTGTGAGTGCAACTGTCGAGGCACCTCATGTAAATGGTTCTGTCTCTCCACCATCTTTAGCCATCTCCAAACTACTGTCTTCTTCAAGCAGGGTTCAAACGTTGCTTGATAAAGCTGCAGATGAAGGATTGGTGATAATTCAGTCTCCAAGGGTGAGAATTCAAGTGCATTTTTTCATCCGATTATTATTTGTTTTTTATGGAAATTGTGGTTACTTAAATCAAATGGTATGTAGGTTGGATATTTTAGGAGGTCTCGAACCATAAAGGGGAAGCGTGCACCTCTATCATGTAAAGAGGTACTCTGTTTTCTATAGTTTTTATGAAGGGATATAGGATGCATTCCTCCCTATGGAAATTTATTTATTTCTTTGTTTACGAGAACTTAAATAAGAGACCACATGTAAAATTATTTATGTTGTCTGTTTAGCATTTGAAATGAATTCATGTTGATTGCTGATTTGCTTTTGTTCTTTGCTCTGAAACATTTGACATGATTTTTTTCTTCTCTCCCGTGCATTTTTAAACTAAAATTATTTAGGGGATGGAAAATCATTCTCATCATTGGTGTACTCTTGTTTCCTCTTTGAAATGTCCATTGTAATCCATTATTATTTACTCACATGCAAGGTTGTTAAAATCGGGATCCCATGTGGGATCGTTGAAAGGGACTCGTGGATCAGATTGTAGAATTGGGTCGAGGATCGTAAAATTCTACGTTCAATGTAAAATAAAATGAAAATTTATCAATAATGATAATATATATGTTATGTAATTTTAAAAAGATTAAAGAAAAATGATAAATTTGATATAATGGATATTTTATGTTACAACATCAATTAGAAGAGACATTTGAAAAAAGTATTTATAGTCAAATTTTTTAGATAGATATACACATATACATACATATATATAAGAAATAAATAAATAATAACAAAAAAAATTGTTAGGACTAGGATCGTAATAGAATCGGGATTGTATGTGATTCTATACATTTTTATGAATAGGATCGCAATAACTTTAAGATTCTACTAAATTTAAGATCCTAGTGTGATCCATATCGTTTGGCACAGTTGAAATCGCAGAATCGTAAGATCCTACTATCAGGACTCTGATAACTATGCTCACATGCTCTTAACACCCCACTAGCATATAAGCAGAAGTATACAAACCTTGTCCAACTATAAATATAAACATATGATCGATAGGGTTCAGAATTTAGTGCGTCATATTTATGGTTTCTTTATGCTTTGACTATTTTCAATCAGACTGACCAACTCTGGTCCTCAGAAGTTCGTATTTGTTGTTCCATTATCAACTTCTCTCAGAAATGAATTCTTAGGTGTTTGTTTCATTGGGAGTTGATTGAAAAGCTAAAACAGTTGACAAGAAGATAGTAAGATATTTGTGGCATTTGGATTTGCACATTTTACGTCACATACTACCCTTTTATAGCTTTGGTGAGGATCAGATTTGAGTATGCTGTTTGCCATCTATCATCAACGTGCAATCCAATGCCACTCAATTTATTTTATGTTGGTTCATCTACATGTTTAAACAATAACTTACGGGGATGCTAATTATCATGCTTCTGTGCCATTGCAAGCCCCATCACCCTTATTGACACCATTTGCACTATGCCTAACAGAAGCAAGCAGTGAAGGAGGGCCAAGTGCTTTGCTACATTGAACAGCTTGGTGGGGAGATCCCGGTTGAGGTATGGACCTTATTGAATCTGCATTCATGTATGCAATGTACACATTGAATGAGAAAATAAAAGATTTTTAGTGCCAATTATTGCTGATGTGTTTTTCTCGCATTAATTTTTTGCCAGTCTGACGTATCTGGAGAGGTTATCAAGATTCTACTAGAGGATGGTGGTATGTCTGGTTCTCTTTCCTTTAGTTTTTCCATTTTCCGTGCACACATATATCTAACATATTGTGTTCTCATTTGATTTTTATTCACTTAACAGATCCTGTTGGCTATGGTGATGCTGTTATTACAATCCTTCCTTCTTTTCCTGGGATAAAAAAGCTACAGTAGATGGTTTTGTTTTTGACATTACATTTTTTTTCCCGGTTTAAAAAATTTAGTCTTTTGAGCAAAACTTTTTGATGTCTTTACAAGAATTGGAAGGTGTTGATCACTTGGCATGTAGATTAATTTATTGCTTTGTTTTATTCTAACTTATTATCTTGAAGCCTCGGAGAGAAAATCTTGGTAAAATAATGGTATGAAACAAACGAATCTCAGAGACTATATTTATCAATGTTACAACAAATGAGCATCAATCTGCAAATGCTATTTTTGGAAGTATGCAAGTGGGCCATGGTTAAAGGTGAGAATATTAGAGCCCTTTGGGCATGTTTGATTGAGTGGATTAGAGTATGGGATTGGGATTATTAATTCGTGGGCCCAATTATTCTATGTTTGTTTTAATACTTTGGTTTAGGATTATTAATCCAATGGATAATTAATCCAACAAATTTGTAGGATTATTAGTAATGGGGTAGGGGTGGGATTATTAATCCAATGGATTTTAATCAAATTGGATAGTGAATACCACACTAATTTAATAGGATTATTAATACTTCACTATTAATCTTGTAAATCAAACATGACCTTTTGGTATTGTTTCAGTTTTCTTGGTTTTGTTTTTCTTGTTTTCAAAAACAAAACTACTGATACCAGTTTTTGGAAATAGTCTTTTGAAAATTTGAGGGTTTTTTTTAAAGAATTTTATTGTTAACAGTTTTTGGACAGAGTCCAGTAAACGAGTTTTCTTTGTTTTTTAGAAAAGGATAATGATACCAAATGGGTTTTACTTTCAAATTTGTATCATTTGTAGTGCATCCTGTAGTATTTCAAAATGACATCGTTTTTGTGGTTATGTTACATTATTTTATGTTTAAGTTTTGTCTCAAAATTATGTTATTTTGGAGATTACATGATGTACTATAGGCAATGCACTAAAGAAGATTCAGATTATTTGCCCTCCAAAAATTTAGAGAGTACTAGGTGCATAGAACCGAAGTGCATAGAACCATTTATAGAAAAATACATGTTCATCGAAAATTACATCTCATTTAAATACGTTTAAAGTGCAGTAAGGATTGCCTTTTAAATGATTTGATAAAGGATTAGAGGCCATGTTTATGAGTTAGAATTGGATTAGCAATTTGTGAGCTGCACTAAATCCACTGAATTCATATTTTGCCCGATTTGGTTGTGCCAATTTTACATTCGCTTATATATAAAATTAGCTTATTTTACATTTTGTCAATTTTTTTTTTGAAATAATTTCTATCCCTCACCTCTTTTTCCTCCCTCCCCTCTCTACCACCCTTCCCAACTATTCACCACCCCTCTCCTATCCAATCTTGTCACGGCTAGCCCCACCCTTACACTATCTCTCGATCACCCTAATCCCTTTCCCACCCCTCCTACTCACACCCAAGGCTCAGCCTTGAGGGAAGGGCAACAATGCACCGGTCATGGACCTTTGAATTCTCTCCTAAAAAAATGGGTCTCAAATGAAGTGGAATGAAATCAATTAATAAAAATATATTATAAATAGAGTCATTATTTATTTTTATTAAATAATTATCATTTTCTAAAGATTTAGAAATGATTATTTTATTCTATTCAATTTTATTCTAGTGAACCAGAGACCATCTTATAGTATTGGTAGTTTAAAAATGAAATTTTACTAAAAGAATTTAAAAAACACTTGAAGTGATAAATTATTTGAAAGTAATAGATGATTGTTTATCAAATGTATAAAATATTGCTGACTATACTAATTACAATTACATATGGAAAAATAATCATTTTTTAGTTAAAATTAATCAAATTTTATATTCAATCAATAATAATTATGATTTATGTAAATTTTAATAATTATAATTTATGTCAATTATAAAATCATATGAAATTGTGTAAGAAATACAATATTATAATTATTGTGAAAAATAAATTAGACATTATTTACTCACTAATACAAATAAATTATCTTGTCGAGGTACAAAAAAGAAAGAGTAAAGACATAATTTTACTAACAATTTTTTTTAAAAAAAATCTCTCCTTTAAATTCACTTTTAAGTCTCGAAAAAGTTAAAATTGGCTCTACTCACGCCAACCCCTTTCACACCTCATCCGTCCACAACAATAGATATGGCAATGAGAGAGATCACAAAAAGAGAAAGAGATTAAGCCTCCGTTTGGCAAGGGCTTTTTCAGGCTTTTTTGGCTATTTTAGCCACAAAAAACAAAATAGGCTATTTTAGCCATAACAAACAAAACATCACATCCAACCTATAATCATTACATTATCACTGGAAAGAGGAAAAAGAGCAGATGGTAAAAGCGTGGTTATGTTGATATACGACACGAAGGCTAATAATTTTCTATCTTTCCCTTTCCTTTTCCTTCTCTCTCAAGAAGAAGAAAAGATAAAAATGGAGTGCACCCACAAAAAGTTCATTCTACCCTCTGCTCTTTGCCCATTTTCTCGAAAGCCATGAATTTGATCTGATCTCTAATTTCTTCACGTTTTGGACTCGGATCCCAAGAAAATCACACAGATCTATGGCTCCAATGGTGAGTTTCACTGAGACTTCCTAGTCCAACTCTCTCTCAATCCAAAAATACACAGGGTCATTTTCGTCATTTCCGAAATTTACTCTACTTTTTCGGTAAAATTGCTTTCGTTTTCAATCTAGGGTTTAGTGATCTTCCTAGGGTTTTGCAATTTCTGATGTTGAAATTTTTACAGATATGGATTGCTTTTCTGCAAATCGAACACCACTCAAGATTGCTGATATCAGACTTTGACTTTTATCTGATTAACACAGAAGTTACGTGTTCTTGATGAGATAATTACTCATTCACAAGTTTTTGCCCAAATTTCACGAAATCAGGATTTCTCTGATCAAAATCCATCTGGGTTTAGTCTAATTCCAAATTAAACTACGTTTAATGCCAAGTTTTCATCTGGGTCTTTTTTTTATTTGATCCCCGGAAGAGAAAATGGATCAAACCCTGAAAACCCTAAATCATACCCATCAAAATTTCAACCCACCCATTGAATCTGGTGATTGTGCTGTTAATTTCTGGTCTCAATCACTCACTTGTCACCAACAATTTGCAAATGTATCTCATGTTGAATACCCATCTTTCAAGAAGCCCAGAACCTCTGGATTGATCAACGAACCGACTACGGGCATTCCCTTGAGGACTGAACTATGCTTGCAATTCAAAAAGGGTCATTGCACTTTTGGGGACACTTGTCGCTTTGTCCATGGCATAGGGATTGGGGGTACCCGAAAGCCTGTGCCTCATAGGCAGGAATTGATGGCCAGAGAGACCAATGTGATCAAGAATGGGAATGAGGATCATAGAATTATCAGTGCAATGAAACTGTGTAGGAGGTTTTGTAATGGGGAAGTATGCCCATATGGTGAGAGATGCCATTTTCTTCATGAAGCGCCCGGGAAATTTAGGAAGAGTTTTGCCGTAAGTATTGGGACTAGTGGACCTGGAGGGTTTTCCAGGAATGGGTGTGATCAATTGGAATATAAGCCATCTGTGCACTCAAGTTTGGATGCTAATGGAGTGGCTCAGAAGCCAGTGTTTTGGAAGACTAAGATCTGTAAGAAGTGGGAGGCGACCGGTAACTGTCCATTTGGCGTGAATTGCTGCTTTGCTCATGGACATACAGGTATTCTAAGTGTTCTTAACATTAATGTCAAACATTTTTTATTGAACATAAATAATCTTATTTCTGATTATACACTGCTAAAATTGATGGTTTCAAGTTTAATCATCATGGAGATGTGCGAGCAAGTTTTGCATTGACTGGCATTGCTCAACTTAAGCCAGTAAGCTAAATGTTTGTTATTGGGTATTACTTGAAAACAAAATTACATCTAATATCATTCAGAAGCTGGCAAATCCATTATTAGAATGTTATTTTGGCCGTTTCAGCCATTATTTGTTTGAATGACGAGGCTCTTTTCTTCTGGGACCTTTGGTATCAGACACTTTTAAGTTCGACTCTTCAAGGGGCTTAGATGGTAGAAGAGGTATCAGGATTTTGATGCAATAGATGTAGAATTATGTTTGGGCTTAATGGCATAGACTATTGCTATGTCAGATAAAATTGAGCATTGCTTATTGCAGTTATCTTATTTATGTGAATGAGTTGTTGGCAGTTTGCTTGCATTTGATTTCAGATTTATGCCCGGTTCATGATGATTGATGTCATCTTTGCATATTTGAAAATGTTATTTTTTGATCACGTGGTAGCTCTTTAAGTTGTTGCGTATAATTGTCATTTTATGGTTCATTGATGAATGTAATTTCAGTATATTGAGTTGTTCTAACTGGAGAAATGAATACTCACATATCCATGTGAAGGATTGATACTTATTTAAGATGTCGCATGGAAATTTTGGTGGCTATTGCATCTGATAATGCATTGAAGACGTAAACATGTCATTATATATGGGCATGTTTATTGAAATGGAACCATTAGAAAATGTTGCAGTTGTCACAAATCATTTTAAGGGATTGAAATGGCGTTGGATAATGAATTCTCTCCCCTTGCCATCTATACAAATTTTATGATAAAGTCTCAAATTCAAAACCTCTCACAGATACGTCACTCAAATCAAGCTAAAATTTTCTCCAAATTGTAAACTAGTCACCATTACTTGCTTTCATGACTCCTAATTTTCCAGTGGCAACATTCTGGACGACCATTCAATCGCCCCATGGAAACTCAAGTCTTCAGGGAACATAACTTTCATTTGTCTGATGCTTCCTGTTATGGTGATTTACAGAACTACAGAAGTCTGGATCCCAGGCACAGGCTGCAATGGAATCCGGGAATGTTTCTCCTTCAAAGATGATACCTACTACTGCTACGCATACATCACTTAGTAGCACAAGGAATGGGATTGCTTGTGAGCAGCAAATGCAGGTTAAGAAGCGCTTATTCAAGTGGAAAGGATTTGAGAAGATGAGTCGCATCTATGCTGATTGGATTGACGATATGCCCCTCAAGCATAGCTCACTGAGCAAGGTGGGGAGCTGAATTTGAGTTTGATCTCATCTGATGTTCCATTGCACCATTTTGTACAGGTTGGAACAACTCGACTTGGGTTTAGGGTCTTTGAAAAAACTGATTTAGTCACCTTTCTGAAATTTTCAAAGTAGTAGTACAAAAAAATCCTTTTAGAGGCTATGACCTGAGATTGAGCATGAGCTAGGTCCCTTATATAGAATGTAAGTTCTTTATATTGTTACTACATACTAGCCACAAGTGGAAATTAAACCATATACTATCTCAATGGTAAATCACAAGTTATAGTAAATCATGTGTTCTCAAAGGATTTGCTTCATGCTTGTTTAGTCTGTGATAATTGCATTTGCAGGGTTACAAACTTCCATTTCTTTTCAATTTCCCAAGTACTAAATGTGTTTTTGCAAACATCACATTTGTTCCCAACTATGAATTTTCTAATGAACTGGTTTAAGTGTGAGGATCTACTGACATCATATGCAAATACTGAGAAAGTGGTTTTCCCTGAGATGTTAGTATAATAATAATTATTGTTATTATTATTATTATTATTATTATTATTATTATTATATCAAATTGTGTGTGGTGCTCTAGTCAACACGCCTTCAAAGGACAGCTCAGGAAACCAAAACTGTGAATGGGGCTGAAAATGCAGCCTTCATGTTCAAGAACCAGTGGCCTGGTGATATTTGGCATATGTTGACACCAATTTGTGTAATGGTTATATGTGTGAATCAATAAATCTTGTATGCTTTTAAGTTTTGCAAAGGTCACTTGGATGTTGCTCATGTTTGTTCTTGCTTCTTTTGTTTGTAAAACAGACTTGATTCATTCTGGCTACTATTGGTTTTGGTTCTTCCTCAAATTAATTTTGACTCATCATGTGGGAATACCAGTTACTTGAAAATGCCTATTTCGGTTCTTGACATATAGTCAGGATTCTATCTCAAAAACTGTCCTCCAAACCCAGTTTATTCATAGCCATCTCAGGGTACGAGAATCTCAAGACATAATCAAACTACTGTGAATAAATTAGGACTGAAGGACATAATTTTTAGGACAAATGATACTCAGCCTAAAACATATGGATATATGAGAGGGGTTTACACCAAAACGTAAAATTAATTGGTGATTTGAGTAAATTTGGTAGTGTGTTTGGAATTACCAGCATGCTTTTGATCTTGAAAAAACTAACACCTTGTTTAGTTTCAATAAATTGAGTTCACTTTTCAGAAAATTAATTTTTTTATTTTTTGTGTTTTTTAAAAAAAAATTTAGTCAAAATTTTTAATATTTTAAGATTTATTTTATTTTATTTTTAGATGTACCTAACCTAGATACACTTAAAAAATATAATATTCATAGAAAAAATCTATTAAAAATAACATCAAATACAAAAAATACAAAAAAAAAATAAAAAATTTATTATATTTTCATATTCTTGTGTATTTATTGAATTTTTTAAATATTTTTTTACAAATATTTTACATTTTAAGTGCATCTAAGTTATGTACATCTTGGAAGTAAAAAATTTACTTAAAATATTAAAAAAAATGCACTAAAAATCAAAAAACCAAAAAAAAATTTTAAAAAAAAATTAATTTTCAGAAAATCAATCAAAACCAAATAGTTGAACTTTTGATTCAAGGCATTGATTTGGCTCCATCCAGCTTGAGCCAGCCGGCCTTGGATAAGACTCCACCTTGACCAATTTTCTGAAATTTATTTTTTCTTTTTCTTTTTCGTTTTTTTGTTTTTTTTTTTTTTTAGTGATTTTTTTAATATTTTAAGTTTTTTTTTTTTTTTACTTTTTAGATACACCCTAGGTAGGGTACTTAAAAAGTAAAATATGTGTAAAAAAATGTTTTAAAATATCAATAAATACATAAAAATATGAAAATATACTGAATTTTCATAAATATTTTTGTTATATTTTTGGTATTTAGTGAATTTTTGAAAGTTTCTTTTAAAAAAATATTATAATTTTTAAATGTATTTATCTTAAGTGAATCTAAAAAATTAAAAAAAAAATCTTAAAATATTAAAAAAATTCACTGGAAAAAATAAAATTTAGAAAATTGAAAACCAAATAAGGTGATGCTACTTCCATTATGGTGAAAGTGAAAGATGTTTCACCCAATACTATAGGACGTCAATCTGGATTTTGATTGATTAAACTAAAACATTATATCCAAAAACAAAAAAACAAAAAACAAAAAAAAAAAATCATCCGGGTTTCTAGAACTGTTTGGTATATCCAAATACAGAATATGCAGCAGTTCAATTATCATTCATGTGTAATGTTACAGTAAATAAACTACCTTTGAATCTATGAGCCAACAAATTGCAAGTAGAACAGAAACCACTTGAACTAATAGTGAATTTCTAGCCTATCAAAAGCACAAACAGTGATATTCATTTTCAAAGATGTAGATTAAAATTTTAGCAACAAACTACAAATTGAGATATATTCCAGGCTCATGATCAGGACAAGGATTAAGAACTCGAGCTAGGTTTCAAGGCCTTACACAAAAGAATTTTTTATAAGCCATACACTATCATAATTTGTTTACTTGACAAAATACGGCACTTTTTTCATCACCAATTTCCAACATAATTCTCCCCCAATAGTAATTCATCATTAACACAATAAAAACAACCTAATGAACAGTTTACAACTCCCAATTCAACGAAACACAACAATAAGATTATGAACTAAATCAAAAATAAAATACAGAAAAATTAATAATGCTACAATGTGAACCAAATGCATAGCAATCTAGGTGGTCTTCACGTACCTTTTCCAGCAGATCGAGCCCACTTAATAGTTGACCGGGCCAATGCATCCATTGGATCCACGCATTTCTTGAGAAGAGGATCATCCTGAGGCAAAAGCTTTCGCATGTCATCTGAAGCAAGGACGACAGTATTCACAGCCCTAACGAGAAGAACTTGTAGTGCTATTCTTAACAAATTTCGTGCCCCTTCCATATCCTTTCTGTTTAAAGCTTCAATTGCTGGAATTACAGTATGCTCCATGGTCGCTTTATCCGGCAGCACAACCTCAAAACCCTGCATATACAGGAAAAGGAACCAATAGTTACTAAATAGTAAGGTGTTCACTAGAATTATTAAGGTGTTATTCCAATAAAGAAGAGGTGATCACCATAAATGGGATGAGGTCGTAAAAAAAATATGAATTTATTATTTATTTAATTTGAGCATATAGCCCTTCATAGAGTAGTATGGCAAAAAAAGATTCATGTTACCGACGCTACTTGATTGGGACACGAGGGTTAGTTTGATTTAGAGACATCCTATAAAGTGATATGCCAAAGGAGGATTACAACCCACATGTTAATGGACTCACCAAAAGAACTGAGCTAGTAAAAAATTAGAAAACTAAAACAAGAGGTTGATTAGTTATTTGAAATTATTTTGTCCAATTAAATGATTATGGATATTTTATTAAAAAATATTTTAAAACAATGCTCCATAATTTGAATGGTTTAGACAACATAAATCACCCCAAAATATGAATCTTGTCCTCCAATGCTAAACACCATGTCTATGAACAATTACTACTGTATAATTATTCTCACCAACCTAAAATGAAAACATTAGTGCAAGACCATTGCAAGGCAGGATGGCTTATTAATTACAGATTCTCTATTTAAAGGCAAAGCTAAAAACATAACCTGGAATCTAAAACATAATCGGATTATTTCAGTTCCATGCCAAACCAAAACATGATCTAACTATTGATGACTATGGAAAATTACAACAAACCTTGCTAACTTCAGTTGAATGGTTTAGTATGATTTTGATCTAAACACAGTTCCGTGATATCAGAGGTCATGACCTAGCAGCTAGTGTGATGGATCAACTAGGACAATATGAGCAATTTGACTTAAACCTACACAGGAAGAGAGCGAGAACTGATTTCAGACAGGAATTTTTGAACTTGCTGGACAGTATGACGTAATAGACTAAACATATATTCACAAACACATTTAAGCATATTGCATATTTGACAAATAACACTGGAGGTGGAGGCTACCTAAAATATTTTGGGAAACATATTTAAAATGGAAGGAAAGTGACCTCTACTTCATAGGATATTTGTGTATTTGAACATCTAAGTGAAATAATTTTTATTGTATTCTACATGGCATTGGAACATACAAGTTGCCATATATTACAAAGTACAACTATCATCAAATTTGAGAAAGGTATGCAAAAATAATTACACAAAATGACAATATGATTTTAGTTTTCGGTGTTCTCGATCTTTTCCTGCTAACTGAAAGGCTTGCTAAATTGTGGCTAGGAGTTGCTCCTACAGTAAAAGGACACTTAAATTCATACATATACATATATATATGTATAACACCCTGTTCATACCCCATTTTGGTCTACCAATAGGTCCTTAAATAGATAAGTATAATATAACCTTCCTTTATCACATTTGTAATTTTCTTTATATCTATAAATGGGTAGGAGTCTATGCCACACCAACCAGCTAAGGTGGTTTTGACTGGAGGATAGGTAAAAGTATACTCAATAAAGTCACTGGTTGCATCCTAAATGACCCCTAGAGTTGAGAAAAAAAAATAGACTCAACTAAATGCCAAGAATTTCCTCTTTTTTTCTTAATTTTATTTGAACATAACCTGAATTGCTATTTAAAGGTGTTGTAAAGATTTGATTTCATGGGACCACAAAAGCACTCATAAAAATTTCTTCATACATTTTATCTATGATAATTTCTTTTCCTATCTTTAGATACCTTCTATGCTGTAGCAAGTTTTCTAACACTGACAAGATCTATCAAATAAATTATTTATTCTATCAATAAATTATTTCTTCTCCTTTTTCTTTTCTTTTCTTTTTTTCAAAGGAACTCTGAAAAGTTCCAAATTCCAATGGTTCTAACTCTGCTTCCATTTTCCTTCATCTCAACCACCAGAAGACTGAACTTGGCTACAGCGAAATGCTTTGGGGGTTGTATACCTTAATTTGCTCTATTACACATAAAGTTACAAATATTACTGTCATCATTCCATGAATATCAAGTTTAACTGTTTTTTCGCCCTATAAGTCTATTTAACTATCAGAAGTCAAAGCTGGAATAAGAAAATTAGAAAAAAACATGAGTTCAACAATCTTTCTGGTGGTAATATATGAATTCCAGAATTCCTCCTAATCAGCTTCAATGCTGAAAACTAATTGAGCAAAAAGGTACACAACAAAAGATTGATACCTCATTCTGAAGTTTCTCCTGATAAAAACCTGCCTTCAGAATTGCATCAGTGGCAAGAACCCCAATCTGCAGAGAACTTCCCGCTTCAAGAGGCCTCAATTTCGCTTCCTTGAGCTCCTTTGCGACGCATTCACCCATATGAAGGAAAGGAACAGAAGATCCCCTTGAAACTTCATCGTGCCATGAATGAGATATGTGACAAGGCATTATTATGCATCGAGCTCCAGAATCCTCAAGAAAAGCCCTTTTCCGTCTTAAATTTTCAATTGGAGCGTGATCCTTTTGGAAATGCTCATTTTTACTCACAGAGGAAGGGAAAGATTTTCTCTCATGCAATGAAAGCTCCTTGCTTAACACAGGATCGGAGCAAAGAACAAACGGTGGGCTATCATCTCCATCTTTTGTACTCCACTGTACAAGTTTTTTGAAGAAATTCAAAGTAGAATTAATAGATGTGCCACCAATGATTCCTACTGTATTTTCTTGATTGAGCAAGGAACCACCAGAATTGCAACTTGTTGAAACTGTACTTGAACTGGGATTTTTATTGGAGTCGATTAAGTTACCACTGTCATCGGTTTGTAAGAGAATCGAAGATGGAGGAAAAGCTAAAGCTGGACTTGTCCTTGTTGCATATTGGCTTCTATGCTTATTCATATAACCCAATACAGGTGGAGGGTAATTCAAAGAGTGAAAAGCTATTGTCATGCCTCTATCCCAGATTTTCTGTATCCAAGCTTATTACTTAAGCTGATACTTGACAGACTTGTGTTTGTTTCTCAAGAATCTGCAAAGCCCCAAAACTCAACCAAGATATATCAGAATCTTACAAGTTCCACCAATTGTAGAAACTAATGGATCTTTGTAAATATCACTAGAAAACATCTAAAACCTATTTACAGAAATTGCCTTTTTGATTTCTGTGTTCAAACACTCAAATCCACTACCAAAAAATTTTCAATTTTCACATTCCAAAACCCAATCGTTATCTGAAATCCAGCATCAAAAACCAATTAAAGACACAAACCCTATTCTAACTATGCAAACTTTTTAATGGGTCTTTCAAAAATCAGCTTCCAAAAGCAAAATCAGCCTCTTCTAACCAGAGTTCTCTGTCTGTCTTCACCAAAATGCAAAACTCCAAAACCCAGATTTCTCTCTCTGTCTAGAATTCTTGAAGCAAACAAAAAAACCCAGCAGCAAGATCAAATTCGTAGTGTGAATTGGGGGCTGAATTGAAGAAATCAATTAAGGTAACCCAATTTCCAAGTTTAAAGAGTGGTTTATAAGCACCAATCATTCAAAGTGAAGACAAGATAGAAACAGACTTATCTTGAGTAAATCTTCCAAAATTGATACATAGGCAGGTGGTTGTGGGACAGTGGGATGAGAGTCTTGGAGCTCCAAACGGTCACTATGTCCTCCCAACCAAACATCATCTCCTGTAAAAACCCATTATCATACTTTTGTCTTCTGGCGCAGTCCTACTGTGCCAAATTAACCTCGTTTTTTTGCCTTTAGTCTAATTTCAATCTTTTTCTTTTTGTTTTTGACCTTTTGCAATTGCCAAAAAAATTACATTTTAATATATATTTTTTTATTTATAAAGAAATGAAAGTTAATTTTTTTTAATTTATTTTTAGGTCAGTCTAATTTGAAATGATCTAAAAAATATTTTTAAAAAATAATTGAAAAAAACTTCAAAAAAAAAAAAATTTAAACTTTTGTGGAATTTTTAAAATTCTTTATTTTACTTTTTAGGTTTATTGAGTCTAACAGCATTTTCAACAAGCCTAGTCAAAATAAATAAACCACTTTATTTTGTATGAAGTATACAAATTCTATTTTTGTATGATTAATTATTACCTTAAAAATTGATTATTTACTCTTTACCAATTGAATTGTCAATTTTTTTTTTTTTGGATACATGGAAAAAGAATTGAATTGTCTTTTGTGCTATTATTCCATCATACTTTCCATTTGATTAAATGAGGGGTACCTAGAGCAGATGAATTTAGTTGCACGATTGTACCCATAAATTTTATATCACTTCTCTCATGCCTTTCTTGAATCCAAACTACAATTTTTTTAGAAAATAAAATGCCATGGTCTAATCAAACTATCAAACTTACACAATTTTTATACCAAAAAATAAAAGAAAAAAGAAAAAAAAATGGTAACAGTAACTTTTGTAATTATGAGCCAGTGGCAACGTGAATAATTCTATAAAAATGCTTGGGCGCACTAATTAGTGCTACCCACTGCCACAGTGTTGCTATGCCTTGATTTTTTATTTTTATTTTTATTTTTTGAGGTTGCCACCTGTTTGGAGCTCTTGTTAGAGCTGGTGTTTTAGTGGTCTCTAGTGGGACTGATAATTCTATTGGCAAACTGCATGTGGATGAAAAAGACAACAACTTCTTCAAGCAATTAAAGCTCAGGATGATATTAATGTCAGCTAATTCGATGTCTTCACAAGGAATTGTGCTACTGCAATTAATTGTGCTACTGCAATTAAGAGTGATTGCAACATTTGAAATTGATATACCTCTTTTGTTCCTGTAGTGAATATCGCTGATCTTTACAGAAGATACCTAAACTACACAAGTTAAGAACATAGTTAGCAATATTGTTTAACAAAAATTGACTAAAAGGCATACATATATTACTTGAAGTATTTTATTGTTTTTCTTTATCATGATGTGCAGAGGTAAGATGTATTTATTACCCCAATTGAGTCTTTAGATCGGTTACATTGATCGATGATGATGAGATTTTGAACATCATTCATGGTTATATCTTCAAAAATGATATTGGAAGCTTGGATTTGAGGTGAATTGTGGAAGGTTTTGATCCTCACACCATTTGTTGTTTTTGTCGAGGAAGAATTGGAAACAAAAATCCCTCTAACACTGTCGTCCTATGGTTTTCCCAGGCTACCAATGCTGGCAAAAGACCAAATGAAATAATTTAGGCATAGATCTAGAATACATAATTGGTAATGGAAATGAAATATGGAATTCATGAAGATTATTTTATTTAAGATTTTATCTGATGCCATGTCCTGGACCACAAGTAATACCAGATATATTGACGTTAGATAAGCCTTCACCAATAGAAATGCAATCATCACTTGTTCTAATAATAGAATTAGATACACGAACTTGATCAGAACAACTAATATGCTTTTCATCAGGATTCAAGCTATTTTCAGATGCAGTTATATTGAGGCGTTCAACTACGAAGTTGCTGCAACTAGTGATTGTCATGTGGAAACCTTTACTATTGACCAAATTAGTATCCCATATAACAGCATTAGTTACCTTCTGGACTTTGATAGACTGCACCAACATATAAGGCATGAAACCATTTTCAGTATCACATAAGGATCCACTATTACAAGAACAAAATTATTAGTGCAAGTATTATCATTGAGTTGCAAGAAAACAAAGCAAACATAGAATTTTTTCTAGAATAGTGTCCAAATAATTGTTTTTTCCGTAAAGAAAATGTTGTGGTTGCATTTCATTTATTTTAAATGGCTTACACTCTACTAGGATGAATGCAGTTCTCCCACACTATATTTTAAACACTTTCCAGTGTAATTTTTTTTGAGCCTATAGCGTTAATTTAGAAGTACATGAACTTACGATTGATAGAGGACTATTGCAATTATCAGGCGAACGATAATTGCTATACAACCATGTAGACTGACCTTGCCCATCAAAAATTCCTCCACCTAAGACTGTCAAACCATCAACATCTTGGAACAAGAGACATGCTCTACCACCGAACTCAGACATATTCGAGTTTGCCAATATGGTTTCTTGAATTTCAACAGTCACAGGGTTTGATGAGTATGGCCCTTTAAAGATTGTCTTCCCTACCATAAATCGCCCTGGTGGAATCACAAGGTTTGATGGTCCTGTTGATGATTTGCATGCTGCATTACATGCCTGTATGAATGCCTGTCATGCCCACACATAATTTAGACAAAAAATTAAAAGATTAATCATTGAAGCAAAAAAAAAATCATATTTTCATTGTGTTCAAGCTCACCATAGCACTATTAGACTCGCCATCCGGCTTAGCACTAAACTTTGTAACATCTACAACCGCATCAAAGCAGGATAGGCACCTTTAACTCCACATGAAAGCAAAGTCAAAGTCAAAGCTAGAGCCAAACTCGAGAAAGAAAGGGCCATTGTGGAAATGGAGAAACCTGAACTGCAATTTTTCTGACAAAAAAATAAAAGACAGACTTATGAATTGAGCTGGTCGGACACATCCTTTTATAGGTTAATAAAACCAGTTTGCTATCTATCTATGGTTATGTCAGTTGTAAAATAATTATTCAAGCTATATAATTTTTGTTTTGTTTGATATTATACTCTTATGTCAATTAATCTCTATTTATAGTAGTTCCAACAAAAAAGAGAATGAAATAGTAGGACTTCAGGATGCTGCTGTGAGCAAATCACAGCAACCTCCTATGGTTTCAGTATATTAAGCCATACTGAATAGTTTCAGTATACATCTCTCTTAGTGTTTCTATATTAATGTAAATTTTTATAGAAAGTAATCATCTCCCAACTTTTTAATGATTTCTTTCTAGTTCTAGTAAGTTATTTTTGACTCATAAACTATAAATAAAAACTACATTTGTGAGAACATGAAATATCCTCTCACATGGATTGTTGGTGAGATTCAACGAAGACAGCTCCATAAACCTGCAAGAGACAAATCTAGTTGATGCCACCCAACTGGGGTTACCGGCCCGGGACACTCCGATGATGAAGTTAGAATCCATGAATGAAGAATCAAGAATAGTCAAGAATCAAGAATAGTAAAGTGTATTTGTATGTTGTGTGGAGCAGAAAAGAGATCTTACCAAATGCCTTGAGGTGCCTTTCTTTTATAGACGGGGGTGGGCCGAATAAGCCCAATAGTTAGGCCCTTGGCAGGCCTTGTTTGGATTAGCCCAATAAGTTGATATATATTTTTTTCTAGCTCCCACAATTGCCCCAAAACTTTCATTGTCTTCGGTAGAAGGAATTAAAGTTTTTATTGTCAAGTTATGCTATTCAAATAGATGTTAGGTCCTTTGACAAAAAATACATTTGATAAATGAATAACATAAATGAATGAATGGCTGGATGAATGCATGTATGTATAAATGTGTGTACAAATATATGTATATAGAGGGGAGAGGTGAGCTAAAGCCCAGTGAGCGATACTATCTCTATAACGATGGGTCACGGTATTATAACCCCCGGGTAAGGGTGTAGGCCGCGGTATTATAACCCTGGGCAATGGTGTAATATATTGTTGAGTGCAAAGATTGCTTCCAAATATGGACTTTCGTGCCGAGCTAGAAATATTTCTATATGTCGAGCACGGAAATGATAGCCTGAACCAAATAAGACAGATTAAATAAGGTAGATATATCAGCCAAAAAATGGACCACGGTATTATTACCCCCGGGTGAGGGTGTAGGCCGCGGTATTCTAACCTCCGGGCGTAGGTGTAGGCCGTGGTATTCCAACCCTTGGGCATAGGTATAGGCTACGGTATTATAACCTCGGGCAAGGGTGTAGACCGCGATATTATAAGCCCCGAGCATGGGTGTAGGCCTTTGCTGATGGCGCTCCGTGCCGAGTGCGAAGATTACACTGTACTCAGAGACTTTACTGATTTTAAGTGGCGACCAAGTACCAATATGGCAAGGACTTTGAATAATACATCATGTGTCAGTGATGGCCAGTACCGAATGAGGTAGACATGTTAATCACAAAGACTATTGCTCCACTTGTAAGGAATGGCCAAATAAATATTAGGCCAACTATTTAATTGCCGAATAAATTTTGGGCCAATTAGCATTGCTGGATTTGCGTTTAGCCCAATGTAGATTTGCCCCAGTGCTTTCGAATGACAGGCGTTAGTCGGAAGGAATGCAGATTGGACGACCAAGTGCCAAAATGGCAAGGACTTTGAATAACGCATCATGTGTCAGTGATGGCCAGTACCGAATGAGGTAGACATGTTAATCACAAAGAATATTGCTCCACTTGTAAGGAATGGCCAAATAAATATTAGGCCAACTATTTAATTGCCGAATAAATTTTGGGCCAACTAGCATTGCTGGATTTGCATTTAGCCCAATGTAGATTTGCCCCAGTGCTTTCGAATGACAGGCGTTAGTCGGAAGGAATGCAGATTGGAGTTGTCCCATTGCCCTATGTGGTGGGATAGATTCGGCTTTGGTAAAATGATGGAGTGCAAAAATATGCGAACTGCCGATTGCTAAATGCGAACGGTCGACTGCCAAGTGTGTAATGTATTGCCCCAAAACTAGCGCTTGTTTGGAGCGGTGTGAAAAGGAGCTGGAGTTTGTAACTAAAGTAAATTTCGTTGCAATGTTTATACCAAGTTGGCCAAGTATGCATGCACAAGAGAGGTACCGAGATGATGATCGGCTAATAAATGGCCAAGGTCACACGGGTAACACAATGAATGATTAGGGAAGACGGAGGATTATATCCTCACCCCAATATCCTGTTGCTGAAATTGCATGCCGGTCAGTTGAACTACCAAGTGGCCAAATTGAAAGCGCCAAGTGAGTGTAACAGTTGTTCAATGAGTTCGGCGATAAGCGTTTAAGCCAATTAAATTATACCATTGTCATGGAATTTGTTAGAAAATTGCTTCCATTTTTGTAAATATGTAACATTGGATCGCCGTTGCCCCATTGCTTGCGAATGACGTTAGGTATTCGGAAGAAATTCAGATTGGACGGTGGCCAACATTGCCAAGAAGTAAACCGAGAACAAAGTATAGTTGCCCTATTCCTTCCGAATAACATTGGCCTATTGCTTACAAATGACAGTGGTTATTCAGAAGGAATTCGGAATAGACTTGAGCCAAATTTGCCGAATGATGCGGGTTGTTATAGTGGCGGGAAGAAGCCAAAATTGTTGAATGCGGCATTGATCAAATACCAGGCTTGGCGGCAAAAAGCATTGTTTGAGCTGCAATATGTGGCATTGCATATAAAATCTACAAATTTTGGGTATGAAATTTGAAAAATCAGACCGTACGAATGTGTTCAGAATGCTCCAAATAGTTGGAAAACGACTATGGGATCGCTATAATCGGACTCTTGATGGCGTAGTTATAACCAAAATGATTTTGACGACTCAGATCGATGGAGACTGGTGCTGTGCGATCCATTGGATAATTGGTCTTATATTGCAAAAAATAAAAGAAAATTGGTGTGGCTGGCAAGAGTTGAACCTGCACTCTTGTGATAAAAGATTAACACTAAACCACACTGCCATGACATGCGTTGTGTACATATTTTGTGCATTATATATATTTGAACCTAATTATTTGATTATTACAAGATATAACTTAGCTGCAATCCACCGAATAATTTCTTACGTTTTGCCAACTCCTCGGTCGTCTTCTTCGGCAATATATGTGATTTTCTGGCCAAATTTCAATTGGCTCACACGACTTCATTTTAGCTCCGATTTTGATGCCATTTTTTGTGTTGGACTCCTCTTGATGAGTACTTTACATTAGTGTAATCAAAACTTGATTTCGACAATGTTGAAAATTGCAGGTTTTGAAAATATGGGCTTTTGCGCAACTATCGGCAAGCATTGGTTGCTTTTTTGTTCCTCTAATTAGTGGCTTTGGACTCCCTGAGTCGACGCGAATCCTCTTGTATTGTTAGATGTGGATTTCGGTAAGTCGCAGTGCTAGTTTTATGCCGAGAGCGTAGAGCCAAACAAGTTGTCCATGAAGAACATGTTTGTTGTGTTCTTCGTTGATCTCATTCAGTCGTTCCCACAGACGGCGCCAATTTTGAGACCATGAAATATCCTCTCACATGAATTGTCGGTGAGATTCAACGAAGACAGCTCCATAAACCTGCAAGAAACAAATCTAGTTGATGCCACCCAACCAGGGTTATCGGCTGGGGACACTCCGATGATGAAGTTAGAATCCATGAATGAAGAATCAAGAATAGTCAAGAATCAAGAACAGTAAAGTGTATTTGTATGCTGTGTGGAGCAGAAAAGAGATCTTACCAAATGCCTTAAGGTGCCTTTCTTTTATAGACGGGGGTGGGCCGAATAAGCCCAATAGTTAGGCCCTTGACAGGTCTTGTTTGGATTAGCCCAATAAGTTGATATATTTTTTTTCTGGCTCCCACAACATTAAATATATCCATACAAATTTTAAAAATAAAAAAATTATATTAAGCCATATTGAATAGGATAATGTAAAATAGTGGGTAGATGTGGCAATGGTGGGTGAGGAAGTGTCAGAAAGGGTTTGGGAGAAGTGGAGGAGCGTAGGAAAGGGTAGGGGAGGAATGGGTGGCGAAAGGGCTAAAAATGGTTGAGGTAGCAACGAAAGGTAAAGTGGCAGCATAGGGCGGATGAAAGGGTTGGGGGATTGCAAAATAGATGAAGAGATATTTTTTCCCCAGACTAGAGAGACTTCTCTCTCTAGGTGATTTCCGGCAGTATTTCGGTGATATTTCGGCGACTCATTTTACACTTTTAAAATATAGATCTACATAGAGTATAGATTTGGACTTTTTATGTTTGAAATAGGAGTTTTGAGAGTTTTCTCATTCGATTTCGGTATAGATTTTTGAATTTTTGACACTCACAATAGTTTCCTCCTCTCTTAAGCCTTTCCCCGTACCATTGTAGGTGTCCTTCTTTCTCAACTCTAGCTTCTGGTGGATTTAATGTCCGGCGGCGACAGAGTTGGGCAACAGTGAGGGGGACAATGTCGACGGGGACGACGGACTTTCAAGTAGATCTTACTTTCCAAACCACATCTTTGAGAAGATCGGTAATTTTTCCTAACTCGTAACTAAATTTTTTTGGCAAATTTATTTTTGTTTTTTATTGTTTGTTTTTGTTTAGTTATTTGATTGGGATGACTCTTTGAGGTCTTGTTTATATATTGTTGTTATTTATTAATATAATGTTTCCCATGTTTTCAAAAAAGAGATATTTTTTAGGCACACAAAAAAAACAAATTAAAAAAAAGAAGATTTTTTTTAAAAAAAAATAAAATTGAAAATTTTCTTTCATTCCAAAAAAGAGAGAACCATATCAAAATGACTATTTTTTCTTTTTCTATTCATTTTAATCACTAAACTAGTTTTTAGGTTTTTGAAAAAAAAAAATACAAAAAACCAAATTTGTGAATCTACCTAGTTTGCACTTTCACCATGTACAGGTCGAACTTGCCCAATGTACAAATAACACTTACACCGGATACAATTCAGTATGTCTGGTTTGAGTTTTTTAGATTAAGTTTTTTAAAAATTGAGTTTTTTGGTTTTCGTATTCTTTTGTGTTTAGTGAATATTTTTTAAATTTTAAACATTTTTTTTTACTTTTTTAGATTCACATTAGTTAGATGTATCTAAAAAGTAAAAAATTTGTGAAAAAATATTTTAAAAACTTAATAAATACATAAAAATACAAAAAATATACTGAATTCTTATATTTTTACTATTTAGAAAATTTTTAAAAGATTTTTTTTACAATTTTTTACTTTTTAGGTGTATTTATGTTAAGTATGTCTAAAAAGTAAAAAAATTGTTGAAAATATTAAAAAAATTCAGTAAAAATAAAAAAAATACAGAAAATAAGAAAACAAAATTTTATGAAAAGCATTTTCTGAAAAATGAAAACAAGCAAGATGATTGTGACTTGCACTAGAGCACACCTTTCACTTACACCCAAAGCAATTGCATTATCTTTAGGCCCCGTTTGTTTTGGGTGAAAGAGAGGGTATTGGAATTGCTAATACCAAGGTATTAGTAATAGCCTTGTTTGTTTTGGGAGAAGGCCTTGGGACTATTAGTCCCTTGGTATTACTAATACCCTTGGAGAGGGAATTGGTAAGGAGGAGGTAGAGATGGTATTAGAAAATAGTGGGGGATTAGAAATTTTTTTATTTTTTATATATTGGGAATTTTTTTTTTAAATATAATGTTTAATTTTTTATATTTTTTATTATTTTATATAAAAATAATTTAACAATTCTTCATTATCAATCCCCTCACTATCAATCCCCTCACTATTAATCCCCTCACTATCAATCCCCTCCATTCTATCTCCCAAAACAAACGGGGCCTTAATCTCTACATTTTTACTTCGTCGTTGAAGTAAATTTAGATAATTTTATTTTTCATACCATAATTTTTTATTCATATCAACTTCGATCAGACATTTCATTTAAGTTATGTAATTTTATTTAATTTTAAAATCTAAAATTTATATATTAAATATTAGTTTTATTTTAAAGATATAATATTTTTCAACCGTACTAATTTTATAAAAATTGAATTTATGTATTAAAGGTTATGCATAATTTATCAAAATAAAATAAAGTGTAAAAAAAAAAAAAGAGAGAGAGACAAGAGAGAAGAGAGTTAGCTCCATTTGAGAAGTTGGTTTGCGGGTTTTTTTGATTAAAATAGTCACAAAAAATAAAATAGACTTTTTAATCGAATAAGACAAAACATCACATCTAATTCTTAATCATTACATTCTTTCTCTTACAAAAAAATTTAAAAAGCCAAAAGTACTTCTCAAATTAAACTCTTTAGCCCAAGTTAAAATAATAAAAAAAATTAAAAGAGAAAAGAAGAAAAAAAAAAAAAGAGAGAGAGACAAGAGAGAAGAGAGTTAGCTCCATTTGAGAAGTTGGTTTGCGGGTTTTTTTAGCTAAAATAGTTACAAAAAATAAAATAGACTTTTTAATCGAATAAGACAAAACATCACATCTAATTCATAATCATTACATTCTTTCTCTTACAAAAAAATTTAAAAAGTCAAAAGTCCTTCTCAAATTAAACTCTTTAGCCCAAATTAAAATAATCAAAAAAAAATTAAAAAGTCAACCCCTTTCTAAACGGACTCCGAGATAAACAAAAAGAGTAGATGTGATTTAAGCCACTTAACCGATCGTTTAAAGTCTATCAAAAAAATCTCAAAAAATTCTTGTAGGTATCATATTCATTGCCAAAAAGCCAAAATTCTTACTAATGAAGGGCTAAAATTTTCAAAGCCTAGTGGGATAGTGATTCATTTTGATAATCTATCACGACAAGAGACTTGAGATGATAAGACAGAGACAGGGTGCGTGGCGCAAGAGATTCAATATTAAGATCAAGTTTGGCATTTCTTTAAAAAATTAAAAAGTTAAAAAATTATTTAAAAAATTAAAAATTATTATTATTCATTAAAAAAAATATTAAAAAATTACTTTTTCACACATCTGTACAACTCTACAATGATGAAAAATTGGCGCTGTGCAGCGTTTGTCCCAAAAATTACACAATTTGGGTGTAATTTTCATACACAATTGTTCGGCCCGTGGAGGTCCATCATGGGTCCCGTTTTGATAATCTGAACCGTTCAATGTGTAGAACTCGTCGAGTACTATATGTCTATAAAAAATCACATTGATCGGATATCGATAACTACATGATCAAATCAGTTTTGTATAATAACAAAATGGATGGTGTTATAATTAACGATTGAAAAAAAACAAATTTGATCAGATAGCTATCGATATCCGATCAACGTGATTTTTTATAGACACATAGTACTCGACGAGTTCTACACATTGAATGGTTCAGATTATCAAAATGGGACCCGTGATGACCCCCCACGGGCCTAACAAAACAGTCCACTGCAATGCCCGAAAAGTTCCATTAATTTCTTACCATCAATTCGCCTTACAGATTATACGGCTGTCATACACACCTCTCTAATCTTCTCCTACACACTTCTTTATACAATTTTTTAATACACATTTTTTCATAAAAGTCAAAAAGTTAACTCAACCATCCATATTTTTTTCCTCAACTTTTTAGTCTAAAAAGTCAAAAAGTGCACTTATTTAGGACACCCCGAACAACCACTTAGGAATACTATAGTTTCAAAATTTTACCTAAAAAGTTATCTAAAATTATCAGTTAATGATCTAGATTTATTCTATATATAAATTCACACAATATTAATTTAATTTTCACCACACATTTGTAATTTGAATAATTTGATTATCAGTCAATAGTCTAAATTTATTCTATATATGAATCCACACAATACTAATTCAATCTCCACCACACATTTGCAATCTAGATAATTTGTAGGATGGTTTTTTCTGGGCATTTATGTTTGGTTTTGACTTTTTGGCTAAAAAAAGTACAAAAGACAAAAGGTCCGTTTGGCAAGTTGGTTTGTGACTATTTTAGCTACAAAAGACAAAATAAGTTGTTTTAGTTACAACAAACAAAACATCACATTCAACCCATAATTATTACACTCTTCTCTCACAAAAACAGTCAAAAAATCAAAAAATCAAAAAGTCCTTCCCAAACCAAGCTTTTTAGCCCAGACTAAAATAGCCAAAAAATTAAAAAGTCAACCCACTTCCCAAACGGAGGCAAAATTAGCTACATAAGTCAATAAGATAAAATGTCACATCCAAACTATAATCGTTACACTTTTTCTCTCACAAAAGTAAAGAAAGCTAAAAACAAAAATCAAACAAGACTAAAAAAGCCAATCTAAAATGGCCAAAAAGCCAAAAAAAAAAAAAGAGGCTATTTTAGCTCTTTCCAAACAAAGACTTAGACTTTTTGATTAACGGTCTGGCTTCCCTCTAGTCCTAGATCGAACTGAATGGTACTGTTGGGCCCGTGGCACCTACTACAGATCTCGTTTCGATAATCCGAACCATTCAATGTGTAGAACTCATTGAATACTATATGCCTGCAAAAAATCACGTTGATCGGATATCGATAGTTATTTTATCAAATTAGATTTTCGTCAACCGTTATTTTTTTACTGTTCATTTTTTTATACAAAACTGATTTGATCACGTAGTTATCGATATCCGATTAACGTGATTTTTTTATAAACATATAATACTTGACGAGTTTTACACATTCAATGGTTCAGATTATCAAAACGAAACCTGTAGTAAGTTTTCAAGGGCCTAATAATACCCTCCAGTCTAATCTAGGACGGAAGGGAAGCCAGACCTGATTAAATATTGGTGCTTCCATTTGGGGAAATAACATGTCAAAGCTATTTTCAAAAATTAATTACAAATTTATGAAAAGTTTATTATTTTAATTTTTAATATTTATAAAGTTTATAACTAATCTAAAAATATTTTTCTACACATGAAATTAACCCTTTCTATTTACACTGAAATTCTAAATTAGTTATCACTAACATGTAAAATTGTTGTGAAGTTTTCTCACATTTCTATATCTAGATTGATGCATATGGTGCATTCTATGCGTCTCTCTCTCTCTCTCCACTTGTTATAAGGATAGTTACAGTTAACAATAAAGATAACTAACCTACCACTCAGAGAATCATTCAACAAACCCGTTGGAGCAAAAAATTACAGACATGATTGGTTTGATTTTCAAAAAAAAAAATTTGAAATTTAAAAAAATAAAAATTAATTTGATTAAAATAAATATTAAAAAGATAAAATCATATGAAAATGAGTATTTTTTAATTTTTTAAATTTTTTTCACCAAATTAATTTTTAATTTTTAATTTTTAATTTTTTTTTCCTTTCTAAATTTAGATTCTAAAAATTAAACGAGCCAAAACCTTGGTTATTCAATCTGATAGGGTGGATTGAAGAAATCAAAAAAAAAATATTTTCTTTTCTCTACCAAATTAAAAAATCCTTGATAGAATGAAAAGAGTTTCATTCATTTCTCTCTTGTCGTTTGGGATGTTCCAAGAAGCATCTCACATACACAAACTACAAAAAAGGTACAAAGAGACATAAAAAAATCTGGCATTCACATGTGCGTCAGATATTTCATCATGTGGGTCACCCATCCCTATGCAGAATTCCCCTCCAATAATTCACTCCCAATAATTGTTCAGCCACCCATCAGCTTCAATTTATATGTGTGTATATATATACTTCCATGGTTACCTTAGTGCAAGAACCTTGCACCATTTCTAAGTATGTGGAGCAACCTCCCCTTTGATCTCCTAGCCAACATCTTCTCACTCCTCTCCCCGGACACGTTGGCACGCGCCAGGTCAGCTTGTCGGCATTGGCACACGTGTGCCAATGTCTCGTACACCGCCCCCGTAGGGGCATGCCGTCAACCACCGTGGTTGGTGGCCTTGCCCACGCGCCACCGTGGGCTCTTTTGCTATGCCCACAATCCTATTATCGACAAGTGGCACGTTCTCCCGCTCGACTTCGTGCCGGACCCGGCTCGGCCCATTGCTCCAATTCGTGGGCTTATACTCTTGAGGCACACAAGCACCACAACCCTCCAATTAGCCATATGCAACCCATTCACTAGGCAATACAAGACCCTACCAATGCTAATCATCGCACGCACCAATCCAGCAGTGGGCCTGATAGAGTTGGGCTCAAGCCCAACCCAACACGTTTCGTGTCCTTACTTTCTAGTCTACGTGGCCGGAGGCATGTCCGAGGCGCCACATGGTGCTGGCGCCTCGTACGAGGCCACATTGGAAATGTACGATTCAAGACGCAACACTTGGCAAGTTATTGGACCAATGCCAATGGAGTTCGCAGTGAGGCTAACGGTTTGGACACCTAATGAGAGTGTCTACTCCAATGGGGTATTATATTGGATGACCTCGGCTCGAGCCTATAGCGTAATGGGATTCGAGATTGGGACAAACATTTGGAAGGAATTGAGCGTGCCGATGGCGGACCGGCTCGAGTTTGCGGCGTTGGTGCCTCGGAACAAGAAATTGGTACTTATCGGTGGCGTGTGTAGAGGTGATGCATTTGTTTGGGAGCTGGGGGAGGACGGTGCTTGGAATTCGATTGGGAAAGTGCCTTTTGAATTGGGGGTGAGATTTTTAGGGGGAAATGGGAGTTGGGGTATGACTAAATGTGTGGGTATTGATGGGGAAGTGTGGCTGTATAGGGACCTTGGGTCAGGGATGGTGGTTTGGAGGGAGGATTGGGAGAAAGGTAGGTGGGAATGGAATTGGGTTGAAGGGTGTTGCTTCATTAGAGGCAAACAAGTTCATAAATTTCCTATTAAAGGTGTGGTTCTTCACCCAAACCTTGCTCCTTCATATATGCTGAATATATGATAACAAACCCTTTGTATGGCATTCTTTTTATTAGTATAGCAACCTGTTGAGTCTATTCTTTGTTTATTTGTTTGGTTGTGTTTTTTGTTTTATTTTCTAGAAAGTATAGCAAATTGTTTGTGAATGGTTATTGAAAACTATTTTTTATTTTTTTTCCTTCTTAAAATAACTCACTTCTTAAGGAGCTATTTTTTTTTGTTTGATTGTGCTTTGTTACTATTTTCATTTTCCAAACAAACAAATAAATGTGATTGACAAACTCTTTTATATAAGTTTTCGGCATGGTTTAAATTACATTTATTATGGGTTTACAGTTGAAATGGATTTTGTCTTAAATTAAAAATTATAGACTTTTTTTTTTTGAATAAATTTTTTAAATAAGTGAGCTTGTTTGGTTCAGATTTTCAGGATTCACTTTTTAGAAAATTAAAATTTTTTATTTTTCATATTTTTTTGTTTTCACTGAATTTTTTTAATATTCTAAGTAATTTTTTTGATTTTTAGATACACCTAACATAAATACACTTAAAAATAATAATATTTGTAAAAAAAAAATCTTTAGAAATTTCACTAAATATCAAAAATATAAAATAAAAAAATACGAAAATTCTGCACATTTTTCGTATTCTTGTATATTTATTGATTTTTTATAAATATTTTATTTTTTAAATACATCTAAATAAAATGCATTTAAAAAAATAAAAAAAAATTACTTAAAATTTTAAACATATTCACTAAAAATAAAAATAAAAATAAAAAATTATATTTTTAAAAAATTAAATTCAAAAAATTTGAAACCAAAGTAGTGCTTGTCCCCGCTGTTGCTTGCCATATGGTCCTATCACCGGAAAGGGCAGGGCCGGCCTTGGACATAGACCCACCAAGCCATGGCCTAGCCCCCTTAAAATAGACTCAAAAAAGGGACCCCCTCCTATTATAATTTAGTATAATATATTAGGTATGTTTTAAGTTCAAAAAAATTGAAGAAGGCCCAAACTAACTTAAAATAAATTGACTCATTCAAAAATTGAAAGGCCCATTCAAAAAAATTAGCATTGTTATCCATTGACAATAGACCCAAAAAAGAGGCCCCCTCCTATTATAGTTTAGTGTAATATATTAGGTATGTCTTAAGTCCAAAAAAAATTAAAGAAGGCCCAAACTAATTTAAAATAGGAAAAATTACTATGTAGTCCTATGTAGGGGATCTATTTCCCTACTAATTCCAATATATTTTTAATAGATTAATAGGTCCACAGTTTTTTAAGTTTTATACCCATAGGTCCCGTTTTTTATTTTCTTATTTTTTAAATGACTGTATTACGCTTTGTTTTGAGATCTATATATACGTGAAAAATCAAATATTTGCTCTGTTTAAAAAAGAAAATCAAATATTTGCCTGTACAATCTCGATTTCTCTTCGTTATAGCGATCTCATTGTGCTGTGTGGTCGATCTCATTGTGCTGTGAGGTGGATCTGGTTGTGCGATCTGAATCTCTGTGTATAGGCGATCTCTGCGTACGTTCTCTCTATCTCTCTCTCTCTCTGTATATGTATGTGCGTGTATCTAGTTTGTATATGTCGATACATATATGTATGTATCTGTCGATACATACATATACATATATATATATATCTGTGTGTGTGTGTACCTGGTTTGTATCTGCGTATGTATCTGTCAATACATATATGTATGTATATATAGATAAGCAAATTTGCGTGATATC